ATTGAAATTAACGCGCCCTATGGAATGCCGAAGTGTTGCCCAGAATGGATAATAAAAAACGTATTGCCCAGTGAAAACGAGAATTGCCAGATCCTCATTTCTCTTCGATTTTATCCGAACGACGAGGATGATGACGAACATGATACTTTTGCTGCTAATCCTTTATGGAAAAGTGCAGAAGATGTGAAGCTTTGTAGAGAAATGGAGTTGGAATTGAGAGGAAGGCTTTTCTACAAAGTTGAGAACTTTATTTCAGTACAGTGTTTTAAGAAGAGTGGTTGCGTGGATGATTTGAGATTTTTGATGGCCAAAGAACCCAGGCGAACTTACGGCGCTCGCGAGCGTGATACTTTTGTGATGCATTTCTTTGTGAGACGATTAAAGTCGAAGCGATGCTTGTTTTGACTCTGACTTTTAATTCAAATCAATCTTCAAAAACTACCATAGTTGTGACTCTACTTTTATCTAATCTATGTACTAAAATCTTTTCATGTGTTTCAAGTATCATCAATGAAGCTTCAGAACAAGCATTACTTTATAGTTTACCAATTCAAAGATTTTTCAAAAAGTAATGCTTGTTTGCTTTAACTTTCCCGTTTTGAAGCGATCGTACCAAACACAACATTGTTTGTAAGTAAGAGCAGCTTCTCCAAAAACAGTACAAATGTTCTGATGGCATTCCGTAGCTTTCTTGTTTAACTTGAATTCAAAGAAAATGGCGGCCCTGATTTTAAATTTTTGGTTATCCATTCTTTGCTCGAGCTTTAATAACACAAATATTGTTCCAAACAAAAATGTTTTTGCAAAAAAAACATGAGCACATTTTGACATATTATTGAGAAAAATCCTAGACAGGGAATGTTCTTCGTAACGACAGGGCAATATTTTTTGTAAAAAATAACCTTTCATATTTACCAAGCTAATATTCAATACTATATTGAAGTGTGATTCTGTTTGAACGACCGGGCATTGCCAAATCGGAGCTAGGCTCAGTCCACTGTGGGAGAGGTGTGTTTTGGTTTTTTTTAGGATGCTTAAGTTAACGGATCTTTTAAAGCTCTTGAAATTTACATGGATCTTATGATTTGAGTGCAGTGACACGTTTATTGGTCTAATTTTAGGTGGTGATGTCGTTGTTCACTTGGTTGCATCCATTGACCCCACCGATCTCGTCCCGTCTTCTGCGTGCCGCCCTTCTCTTTGCTCGTCAACACAAGATGTACATTGTCGTCAAGGAGTTGGAGCAAGTTGGTGGTCTTATCGTTGTTGTTGCTTGAAACAGTTACATTTAGCCTTATGCCATGCACTGAAACTGGGCAAAATCCTTTTCTTTACTGCTTGATTCTCGAGCCGCCCAAGTCGCCGAAGCGTTTGCTGAGAATTTCGTGTTGGCCGAGCGCTTGGAGCTAATTTTCTCAGGACTAATCTGCAACGAGTCGATGGGAGGTTTGGAAAGTTTTGGGTCTTAAAAGTGTTTAGTTGCTAACTTTGGTACCGGATGTTGAAGTTAATTCTAGATTCAAAATAAGTATTTTTAATTTAGCTGTCAAATTTTCGGCAACGACATGATCAGTCACCCGCTCTTCCACCAGCTCTCAAAGGCGCTGAAGGAGCGAATCGTCGATCGGGCGGGATGGGGCCTTCTCATGCTCGGGATGGGGCCTTCTCACGCACATGCTTACAAAGAAGTGGGTTTTTTGTTTTTGTAAAAAGATAAACCAGGCTAATTCGAGTACGGTTTGAATTAGCCTAATTGGGTTTAAAACTGGTTTTGAAACGACTTTATCATCTGCTTTCAGGCAAGCGTCCAAGCACTACCTGCGCATCGTGGACTTGGTTGGCGGTGGACCACCAGTTGATTGTTTAAGGCTTTTAAGCTCTAGAAGTTAATTGTTAGTGTTGCCTGGCTGAAGCTAATGTTTTTGTTTAGATTGAGGAGGGCATGTGCCCAGAGACGTTTCAATCGATAAACTTGCAATCGATTTTTGGACCACGACACGAGATGCACGATTTGGCTGAACAGGTTGAGTTTTAAAATTTTAAAAATGGTTAAAATTTAAAGGGCTGTAAAGCTCGAACGGATTGAGCCTTCTCTCTCTAAAAATCTCTAAAAACCTGGAAATTGGTTTCCAGCTGAACTAACTCATCAATCGACTATCTGTTCAAATTTTTGTCAAATTTTCGAACTCCAGGAGCTCCACATTGAGCAACAACAAGAGGTGACGATCGGTGACGGTTGAGGGGAAGGATTCGGTAAAAATTTGAATTGAGCAACGATTATTTAGCAGATTCTTCATTTGTGTTCGCATTTGTCGTTTGTATTCGTGTTTTTTGGTGCTTCACTTTCTGCTTTGTGATTTCCGTAGTTATGATGTATTTGAGGGAAATAATAAAATTGTATCTCGTGTTGTGCTTGGGAAATTGGTGTTGGCTTTAAATTTAAAGCTCTGGTTGTTTCTGAAATAGTAGAATTTTAGTACAGAGATCAGTACAAGGAAAAGAATCCTGAAAATTTTTGGAAAATTTCGGATTTTGAACTTTTTAGAGTGATTCCACTCGATGTGCCGGAAGCTTTCAATGCTGAATGTCTTTCTAAATGGTTTATTTTATTTTATAAAGCTCAAAAATTCAAAAGAAGACGAGAAAATTATGAATTTTGAGTAAAAAGGAAGCTAATCTGAGTTTAAAAATTTTTGCTTTGAAATTTTAAAGTTTTAAAAGATACGGGAGAAATGAAAAATCGGGTTTTGGGTGATTTCCAAAGATGCTGATATGGTTTTTACAAAAATTGCTTGATTGATGCAAAAAGGTGATTGATTTTGAATAGAAAAATGTGGTTAGAGAGGGCACGGATGTTCCGAACAGGCCTTCGAGTCTGTAAGCCGGGCTGATCAGTCCGGGTCAAGTGGTGTCCGACCCAAGCCTGTAACCTCGATGCATTGTGAGCAAGAAACATGATGCCATAATTTGTGTATATAAGTCAGAACAAGTACATATAGGTAAGAGGTTATTTGTTTTTTGAATTATTTCAATTATTTGAATTTTCAAAATCGATAAGTGAAAGAACAATAACAATACAGTAATCACAGTCAGTTTTGAGTTTTAAATAAATTTTTGATAGACATATTATTTTCGACTATACTTATCCCGCATAGTCATATGCAAATTTGATTTGACCAAATGATTTTGTAAGCAAAGAAAGAGGAAAAATGAAAAAATGATTCGATTTCCCAAATCCCTCTCTCAACACGTGGGACCACCTTCGGTGCATGCGAATTGCACAGGAAAGAACTGGAAATTTTTGGTAGAACTAATCGCCATAACATTGCCGAATAAAGTCCTACTTTGGATTGGAACCAATTGAACAATTGAACAATTGAAACTAGAGATTTCAGTTTGATTTTCAGATTTCAGATTTCAGTTTTTAATTTGGTATGCAGATAATTGAAAAAAAACAAATGTTAACCTCATTTCTTTGGTTTGAGTGATGTTCAACGTGAAAATTGCCATTTTCAAAAAATTTTACAACTTGATAAGTTGGGTTTCAATTTTCTGCATAAGGTAAGGCTTTTCTAGCCTTCAGATTGTTGCCTTACTTTGCAAATAGCAAAGAAGGTTTTAAGAAAGGTTTTTTCTCTTTGATAACTTCTCAAAGCACTCACAAACAAACATGTAACGTCGGGCCCAAAAGTCCATGTGCCCGTTGCGTCACAAACGATCGTTCCCTCGATGCTCACAGTCATACATGCTTGTAATCAAAAGGATGCCAAGCCTTCAATGCAACCACGAACTGCGTTTTAACCTTTTTTCTTGTTATCTTTTCTTTAAAGTTTCTGCATTGATTTCAATTTTTAATGAATCCATTCAACAATTTAATAAAATAACAAAAAAAGGGCAGAGCTTTTAGAACGTCTTAAGAACGAAAATCTAGCCGAGCTCTTTTGAACAGCGCTCTTTTGAATGGCGCTCTTTTGAATGGCGCTCTTTTGAATGGCGCTCTTTTGAACAGCGCTCTTTTATATTGTCCGGCGGACCGATCAACTCTCGGTCCGAAGATTGGTCTATTCTAGTGGCTTGCTTGCTTGCCAAAACAGAAATGACTGTAGAGACTTGTTGATCTTTTTGCACAAGCAAGCCTAAATTTCGGAATGGAGCCTGCGTTAACATGCTTGCGTAACAGTGACTAACAGGAATGTAGTCTGGTAATGTAGTCTGCAATCTATAATAACTAGACTAATTACCCATAATATCTTCTTTTTCTTCCTTTCTCTTCCCCCATGTATTTCTTTCTCCCTTACCGGATATTTCTGAAAAGCAAAAGGTCGAGGGTTCAATCTTTGCCATTCCTTACTTCACTTTATAATAAATATTTATAAGATGGCTAGGTGCTGGATGAGTTAAACTTACAATGTTCGCTTCGGCGAGGATGTTGCCGGCGGGAGATGTACAGGTGAGCATCGCATTTCGGCAACCATTTGCGTCGGTGCTGCAAAATAACGAGAATTTCCGCTTTCCTCGAGCAAAAAATGCTATTTAGTCAACCACTTTGGTCATGAACAAATTGAAAGATCTTACTTTGAAATGTATTGGGAAGAGGACGAGATCGTCGAGCCCCCGCTCAAAGTTTTGCTAAAAAAAGTGAAACTTGTGGAGTGTTTGTATATCGAACACATCACGGAAACCTGGTTGGACCGGATCTGTGACGTATTTAACTGTAAAGTCACGGAATCGGCGAATTTCGGCACGGAAACGGAAGATTCTGCAGAACTGGGTGCCGCTTTCCTCGAGTAAAAAATGCTATTTAGTCAACCACTTTGGTCATGAACAAATTGAAAGATCTTACTTTGAAATGTATTGCTTGTTTTGTTTTATTCTTTCTGGGGAATATTTGGAAACAATGAAAAAGTTGGAACTAAATTTTCTTTCCCTCGTTTAATCCGGTTACTTTTGAAACTCACGTGTAGGTGAACGTGCCGGTTTCTTGAACCCCGCCTGTGTCATCGGGCACAATGGCGAGGTCGGCACAACTTGCACAAAGCACTGAAATGATTAATAGGGGAAAAAGGAAAAATTTACGAAATTCGAAGAGAAACATTTAGATCTCAAGGATTAAAAGAAAGCCGAATAAGTTGAAACTAATCAATTTCAAAGAATTGTTATCAATTCACGTACAGGTGTTCATTGTTGCAGTTGTTGTAGTGGTTGTTGTCGTTGTTGTTGTAGTGGTGGTTCTTAAAGGTTTTAATATAAATAGATTCCAGCTAAAGAAAGCTAAAGAAATCATTTTTCAAAGCTGGTTTTCTCTTTGTTTTAGTTGATTGACGAATTTCATTTTCAACTTCAGTCAAAAATTTTGAAACTTGAAAATTTCATTTTTTTTACTCACGTTGTTGTCGTTGTTGCGTTGTGGTGGTGGTTCTAAAAATGTTCTTTAAATGTAAATGTAAATGAATAGCAGCAGTTTATTACAGTCTAGTAGCTGAAGCTAAAGTTTTAAAGCTTGGAATTGCACTAAAGTCGACGATTTCATTTACAAAGTTCTTTGAAACAGAAATTTTGAAAAGTAAAGGATCCAAAAAGGCAAATTAGCTAGTCAATTGCTGAAACATTGCTGAAGCGAGGATAAACTTTGAAGAGTCAAAATTTAACCAATAACGAACCCAATAAAGAGCCCAATGAAGAACCCAATAACGACGTACTACAACGTACACCTTGTTTCAATGCAACTAAACTTTACAGAGTAATTGCTAAAGTCAAAACTATCAAACTGACTCTTGCTAAAAGTATCATAAGCTTGAATTTGAAATTTGAACCAAAAAAAATTACGTTGTGGTGGTTGTCGTAGTCGTAGTCGTTGTTGTACTGAAATTTCTCAACTTTGATCTCCATTTTTATCTTAAAACTCTGTCAAAAGGATTCATTTTCACATTGTCTCATTTAATCCCTGCAAATTGAAAAATTGGGTTGGAAAATGGGTGTGAAACCCTTTGCCACATGGTTAAAAACTTGCTATTAGTGAACTTAAAACTTGCTATTAGTGTCAGTTTTCACAGCAAATTAATGCAGTCAGTTCTGTTAGTGCAAAAGCGTCAGCCTCAACCAGTTCAACGCAGACAAAAGAGACATTACGTTATTGTTACAGATAGATATAGCTAAAAGATTTAAACTTAGGTCATCCTTTTCTTTTTAAGTCATTCTATAATTGAACAGAGCCTAAATTTATTGTGTTCTGCTAGTGCAAAAGAGTCAGTCTCAACCCGTTCACAGCAAAGCTTTCAATGACACTTTATGTTATCGTAGTAGTCGTAGTTGTCGCCGTCGTTGTAGTTGTTGTTGTGGTAGTGGTTGTGGTAGTGGTTGTTGTTGTAGTCGTCGTAGTCGGGGTCGTTGTTGTAGTCGTTGTTGTGGTGGTCGTTGTAGTGGTGGTCGTTGTTTTTGTTGTGGTCGTGGTCGTTGTAGTTATCGTAGTAGTCATAGTTGTGGTCGTTGTTGTTGTAGTTGTTGTTGTCGTCGTCGTCGTTGTAGTGGTAGTTGTCCTAAACCACAGCAATCAGCGCAGCACAAAAAGCAAACAGATATATAAGTTGTTACTAATTGTAAAGAACAAGTCGTTGATTGTCCCAGTTGAATCCCTATGACCTACTTTTGAAACATACAAATCGCAAAGCAGTGTTTACTATTAGAATTAGTGTAATTTTGCTCTCCGTCTCTGTTAGTTCCAACATAAAAGTGAAAATTTGAATTTACACTGTCTGTGCAGTGGTTGTAGTGGTTGTAGTTGTTGTTGTGGTTGTTGTTGTCGTTGTCCTAAACCACTGCAATTAGTATAAAAGCAACAAAAAAATGAGTTAAAAGTGCGTCAGATGCCAAAGAGTTAGCACCGTTTGAACGGTTAGCGACGAAAAAAGGGAAAAATTTTGAAATTACTCTGTTGCGGTGGTCGTTGTTGTCCTGTAACAAGCAAAAATGAGCAAATATTGAGGTGATTAGGTGACTGTTTACTCTACATATAATTAGAGTGAGGAAATTGATTACCTATAATAGATACCTGTAATAGTGACGCTCATTAACTGAATATCTTAATGCCTAAGAGAAATCTCAAGAAATTCAGCTTTTTGCTTTTTATTATTATTTTTATTAGCTTTTATTATTTTTATTAAGTTCAATTTATTTTCAAAACCAGTTACAACCTTGAATAGTTCAAGTACAAGCATTCAGCTTCAGCTAAGATTTTTGTGTTTCAAAGTACTGTAAGAGAAATGCGCTATTTTGTTTTTAGTGGACTGGTCAAATATAGCAAATGATGATGAGAACAATATGATTCAGTGTTTCAAGACCGACGGCGCTATTTCAAATGGACTACAGTGGCTAAAAGACATTTAAATGGAGAAAGAAATGAATGATCTTCTGGTGCCACTTCAATCAACAGGACTTTGAGAATTCTGAGAAGAAAATGACGAATTTATTGCTTTTAAGTTCTCAAAGGTGAAACACCGAGTTTGCAATTCTAAAAGCCTTTAACTTGAAAATCAGGATTTCACAGCAAACCGAGATTGATATAGAACTGTTAGAGAAGCTCAAAGACACTAATTTTGTTGAATCATTCAAGTTTGTTTTTTTTGTCTCTGACAATGAGCCAGGATTCTCTTTTCATTAATATTAACATTCCCCTTTTGAGTCAAGAAATTAACACTGTATAAGTCTTAAATCATCCAATGTTTCCAATAGTTTTCACCAAAAAGCTTCTTATTACACAGAGTGAATCAGCAACAACTTTGTAAAGAGAATTACGTTGTCGTGGTAGTTGTTGTAGTTGTGGTCCTAAATCACAGCACTTTCAGAGAAAACACTCAAAATAAGTACGTGGTGGTTGTCGTAGTCGTTGTGGTGGTTGTTGTAGTTCTAAAACACAGTTCTAAAACACTTTATCTCTTTCAAAACTTTAGTGGGAGAAGTCAGTAAAACCGTTTGACTATTGCCAAAAACTGAGTTTCAAAATTGTTAAAGAGATTTGGAATATCGCTCACTCAATTCTCTTGCTTTTTCTACCGATGAAAAGCAAAGTGATAAAACCTACGTGGTTGTTGTTGTAGCTGTCGATGTTCTAAAGTTACAAATACTTGACTTTTACAGCTAGCTTCTTTAAGTAACCTTAAAGCCATCCTTTAAACAGCGTAAACTAGGATTCAAATTAGCACTTTAAAGGGGTACTCCGGGCTCAAAGTTGTCTTTCAAAGTTGTCTTTCTTTTCGAAGTTCTCTCAAAGTTGCCTTGCCTTTTCACCTTTCATTTATCTATTATTCGATGCGTTTTAGACTTCTCTAGAACTATTTCCTAGATGAAAAACAAGGTTCCCAATCGAGAAATGAAGAAAAACGCAATTTTTGCTTTCCAAATCACCCTAAAACGCGAATATTTGGCCGAAAGTATATAAAGATTCCGATGAATTGCATTTTACCACTTGCCTTCTTTTCTTTTGCATATATTTTCTCAAATTTAACAGCAATCTTCAATATCTTTGTTTTTTAATAGAAAACATTACATTCTAAAAGAATAGCTTAAAAAAGTAAAAATCGGACTTAAGAAGACGTGAAAAATAAGTGTCCAATCTCAGAATGACTTTTCTTAGGCCAGAGTATTCCTTTAAGCATCCTCAAGCTTCCTGTACTTCCTTTACTAAGATAAAGTATGAGAAAATAACTCTAGTTACAGTACTTGGGGGCATCACAAAGGACTAGTGAGGAAAGTAGAAGTTTCAATATTAATGAGACTAGTTGAAAGTGGGAACCCTCAATAAAGCAGGCTCGTGAAATTTGCTAGATTTGTGAATTGCTCGCGCGATTTCTCGAAGCTTTGTTGAGAATTGTAAATTTGCTTCTTGCTCTTTTGACTTTCAAATAATCCGCTTTCTAAACCGTCCTCTTGCCCTCTTTTCCCTTTCTACCGCAATATTGTATCTATTTTTACCCAATCAATTCACTTTTTCTATCTTCGATATCCTTTATGAATCAGAAAAAAAGTGATATTGGATATAAAAATAGATAATGAGATTACGGTAGAAAAAGGGACACCTTTTACTAAACGGATTATCGTCTTCTCTCTAATTCACCCTAATTCACCCTGAAAAAAACAGCTATAAACAAAGGCTTAAAGTTTCGCTGGAACTTATCTAACATAAGAGATCTAACATAAGAGATAAAACAGAGGTAAGGTTAATCATAGATTTAAGAATTCTACTTTTCAAGCCTTCAGAAGTAAGAAGCCTTCAGACCACTTCTGCTGTGGCGGCCGAAAGAAAGGGGAGGGGCTACCAAAACCAAAAGAGACCACTCGAATCAGAGCTATTTTCATTCTTTCATTGTTTTGCTGAAATGAAAACCCTTTATAATACTGTTACAAGAATTCATGCTTCAATAAATCACGATTTCACTTCGAATTCCAGGCTTGACAAAGATCCGAATTTCCGTAGCTAGGAATGGATTCCTC